CCCACCAGCACCATTTAGGTTGCACCTCTAAAATTAAAAGCCAGGAAGGGCCCCAAAGCTGCTGCAGGGCTGTAACCCCCCAGCACTGCTGCTGAGAGCGAGCTGCACTCCTTTGAGCTGGGCAGGAGCACTGGGACACCGGGTTTTCAGCACAGAGCCCTCGCTCCTCTTTCCAACTCATTTTAAATTTCAGACAGAGATTCCAAGAACAGCAAAGCCTCACAGAATAACCAGAACAACACTGGGCAGCTTGACTGACAAGCTGAAGTGCCCCAACTACCAAAGCCATTCCAGAGAGAGGACTGAATTACTTCTGGGGAGCTGAGCAGCCCCGGACTATTTCTCTGTTTGTTAAATGCTCTTTGTTTTGGGGCACTTCACACTCCAGTCAATCCAGAGCAGCAGTTCCTAGAACACAGTAGCCTATTTCTCTCTCTAGATACAGACAGTCATTCTACAAACAGCTGAAGAGAAAAGAGCTCAAAACCAGAAGCAGACTCAGGAATACAGAACAGGACTATAACCAGGGGTCTTTTTATTCATCTACAGCCTATTTCAAACTACCTCTTAAAACCAAACTTATTACTAGTCCTTGCTCCTTGTACCTGATGCTACAGAACATTACCACAGCCCTCAAAACCCCAAATTAGCTTCCCTCCCACAACTATATCCCAATCTTTCCTCAGCAATATTATCACAACCTCACGCTGTCACTCCTTCTCTGAGAATTTTTCAGCCTCTCCCATTCCATCAATCCCCATTAAAAAAAAAGCCCAGATTGTGGTAAACTGCCTTTTTTTACAGCACTCCTCATTCCTGGCTTCAGTTTTCCTTACTCAGAGACAACACTTTTCATGCACTGAGGACAAACTACCATTGCTGAAGCAACAAGTTCCCATTCCTGCTCTGCAATTTTGAAGCCTGTCAAATATAAATATCAAACTGCACTTGACAGATGTAACACACTGAGAACCAAACACTGAAAGCATTCCTGAACAAGGGATTTGGCCTGTTTTGGCTCAAAAACAGGGAACATGAAGCAAGTCCCAGGTTAGGAACAAAGCAGCACAGAATGGTTAAGCATCAGACTTCAAAATTAAGGCAGTAACCAGCACCCACAGCAAACATTCAGGTTCTTCTTTCAGAGACATTTTGGGCATAAAATAGTTAAACAACTTGTGAAAGATGACCAGTGATTACTCAGGTTTAAAGCTGACAACTTAAGTTCCTGGCTCCCAGCCTTGGACCTGGACTATCAGACTTTTACATATCTTTGAATTACACCTGAAAGAACATTTAGATACAGCAGCTTGACTCTCTTCCTTCTGCCAAGCAATTAAACAAATGTGACTTAATTTGTTGTGAAGTACAAACTCACTCCATTAAGCAAGTGTCTAGTTTAGAGACAGTTTAAACTCACAATCCTTAGTTGTTCCCAACTGCAGTTGCTACTGTGCCACATCCTGGAGAGCAGCACAAGAGTAAAACCAACAAAACTGCTGCTGAAAATCTTTGTAATCCTTTGCTGTAATCATTCCCATAAAGGAAACTTGGACTAAGAAAACAGTGAAGTACTTCTGGACAATTAAGTCTTCCTTGCACTGAAACTGTGATGGCACAAAAGAAAGAAATCTGTGTATTAAAGACACTTCTGATAAACTGATTATTGAACTTATCACCAACAATCACTCCGTGTTCTCCACTGGAGAAGTCCTGTCTGATCCTGAGCACATGGAACAAGCTGAACACAGATACATTGTAGGACTGGGCTTCAGCAAGACAAATATGAAATTAAAAAGGGAGGAAAATGATTTCAGAAACAGAGGCAGCACAAACTCCAACCTTTGCCCTCCTACAATGGGCTGTTAAATCACAAAAAGGCAAACTCCTGCCACCAGTCAAAATTAAGGACCCCGGTTATAACGAAGCTGGCACTGAGATTTCAATTTATAACCTGATTTCTGTGCTTAACTGTGACCTGATGGAGCCAGGCCACAGCTGAGAGCTGAGGATAAATTCCACACATACCAAGGGAAGAGAGGCTGGTTCTGCTCCTCACATTCACACTCCTCCTTAGAAAAGCTGTGCCACAGCAGTGACCCAGGCAGGCCCCAGACAGGCCCCATTGCCATCTTCCCCCAAGCTTTAGTTACAGTTTTTCCTCCTTCCCTTAAGTGTCACATCCATCCATCACAAAGGGCTGGGAAAGCCAGAAAATTAAAAACTCTGTATCAGAGTTCATGTTTCAGCCACCAAAGCCATCAAATATTGACTTTGTTACAGCCAACCACTCTGGCCTAAGTATCCCCAGAATTACAGGTTAGCCATGTGATGTGAAGGCTGCAGGTCAGAGCTGACCTTAAATACACCAGGAGTTACACAGCAGCATTCTTGACAAGCTTTTACAGCTGCTGCCACTCTCACTGGATTAAAAGTGTTACTCTGCAAAATGTTATTCCCCATTGGCCTGTCTTACAGACAACACCATGGAGAAACCACTGGCTTTGCATCCCACTGACTAATGCCATGAAATATTGCAGTTTTCCTGGTTAACTCTGCCTTTAGCTTAGTTTAAGCCACTCTCCAGTGTAAATGTTGCAACACTGATTTCCCGAGGGGAAGGGAACAGAAAGCGAAACTCCCGTTTCTTTGGGGTTTGTTTTCAGTGAAGTTTCAGCTCAGGTTTGTTTTCAGTGAAGCTGCAGCATTCTGGGGTTTAAAATGTGAGCTCCAAAGCCATTCCAAACCCCAGAACTACACACCCTGGTGCTCCCATACCCAAATTGGTACCGTCCTCACCACAGACACGACTGGAGTGCAGACCTGTTCAGTGGCACACCACAGTGGTTAAACAGTCATTAGAGTTTGAGACAGACAGATTTCCTTCAGCTTTCACCCCAGGGATGCCACAAGAAAGCAGATGGAAAGGCAGGGAGGGAAAAGAGGTCCTCAGTCTGCCCTTGGATCCACCATCAACTCGGGTATTCCAAAGGAGCAGAAGCTGCTGCTCCAATTTGTACAAGAACACACACGGCTCTGTGTCATAAAAGTGAACCCTAAAGCCAGAAATACAGCCAATAAAAGGAAAAATGCAACCAGCTTGATGCATTTTGGACCCTTCCAACACACACTAAGAAGCATAACAACTCAAAAGAGCTGCTTTCAACAACTTCCAGGGTGGACTGTGGGAGCCAAACCCACAGGAAGAGGAGAGAATGTCAACAAATTAATCACAACCAAATATAACATCAGTAATACAATAATACTTGGGATCTCTCTCCAGGTCAGTCTGAGAAGGTCTTGCAGTTTATTAAGGTTTGTACCTTAAGGCTCATCCTAAGTCAGGTGTGATGACAACCAAACAAAACTGCTCTTTGGGTCACAAACTCACAAGGCTACATGGGGCATAAAATCCAAAGTGGCCCTTCTCCCCAGGGTTTGGAAACCAAGCTGCCTGCCTGCCACTGAAGCTCCTGAATTCCTTCCAAGGCCTCCCTGAACCCCACCCCTGTGACTCCAGCAGCCCCAGAGCAGCTCCCAACCTGTCAGGAGGCACAAGGCTGGCGAGGCACCTTTCGTAACAACAGGTGCAACCCTCCCGAACAGTTCAGGAAGTTCAGGACAGGCTGTTTCCTCACTTCTGCATTCCCTGGGAAAGCCACTTCTCTGTACACAACTTCACTGCTGTTACATGCATGTCAACATGGCTATTTTAACAAAGAATTACGTGCAAGCTCCTGCCACGCAACCACAACTTCTTCAATATTCCTATTTAATTAAGGATTTAGTTCAATATGTAAACAAAAACAAAGGTTACAGAATTTAAAGTCTGACAAGAAAAAACTACACCACATTTAAGAGTAGTTTTGAGTTCAAGCTTTAAAAACTACTTCCTGAAAGATTTAAAATTAAATTGGGAGTTGTTACAGCTTTCTTGTTTCCAAAAAAACCATCTTTCATCTTGCAAACGACAGCAGTCTTTGACAGTGCATTGTTTGCCACATGTTGTAACTCATAAATAAAAACAAGGCACTCATGTTTATACTGGTCTTTTTTTTGGCCTCTGGAAGCTAATTTGAACCACATGTCAAATGGGGAAATAATGGAAACTGTAGTTACTGCTTTTCTAAATATAACATTAATCTCACTTGTAAGTCAGAGCATCCAAGATATGTAAAAAAAGAAAAAAAAAAAAACAGGAATTACATAAGTGACAAGGCCAACTGCTTGCAAAAGAAACATTTTAACTCCTGATCTTATGGGCTGCCTTGTGCAAACAAGACTTTGTGGCCACAGAAATTCCAAAGTCAGAGGGACTTCCCTCAAAAAAAAAAAATCACAGAGGAGATTTTGCTCTCCAGCACAGAGAAAAGGACCATTCCTCTGACACTCCCAAATCCAAGGAAAAACAAATAACCAGCACAATTTTTGCAGGGACAATCAGAGGCAGCCATCTTAGTGGAAGATGACACTTGTCACTGCCAGCTCCAAAAAGTTTTAGGCAATCTCCAGTATCATTTCAAACTCAAACCCGCTCTTTCTGCAATAGGTAAGCACACAAGAATATTCAGATTCATTCCTCTTCTGGTTAATAGAGGCTGGAAAGATTGGGAAAATTACTTTATCTAGTACTTAGATCTTCAAAGAGAACAATTATTAATTAATTCTCACAACACCTCCCTGTGGAATGCGAGTATCACATTCCCCATTTTGCAGATTAGGAAAAAAAAACCACAAACCAAGAGCTGAGAGGCAGAAAAATCTTAACAATCTTGGAAAAGAATTCCAGCAAAAATAGTTAGGAAGCCTGAACTTTTTTTACAAGTGTGCAGAACAGGACTCTCAAAGCACAGTTTAATCCTGACTGTGGGTATGGGAATGCAGATTAAGTGTCTGTTTGCTTTGCTCCAGCCGAATACAGCAGCACTGGGCTATTTTACTGATTGCACCCAGATCAAGTAGTTAAAAAGTCAGAAAACAGCAGAAAACATCGCTCTTACCTTCTGCTACATCATCATCTACAGCGCCTTTCACCTGAGAAAAACACCACTGAATGTCATTTCCTCCTCCAGCTCCTGAAAAATAAAAAAAGAAGGGAACAATTGAAGAGCTGAGCCCCCCCAGCGCAGCCCCGGCGACACAATGGTTGCAGAGCACATTTGGGAGCCTGAGCACGCCCACTTCCTCAGCAGAGCCCAGGCACAATCACAGCCACCCTCCCCACCTTTTTCCTCTGGATATTGTTTTTGTCAGCCTTCAATGCAAGGGTTTGTGGAAAACAGGGAAGCACAAGCAGTGTGAAAGCTCCTCTCACCGAAAGCTCGCTGGGCGGAGAACCATCAACTCCGAATTTAAAACGCACGGATTTCAGAGGAACCCTCTTCCTACTTCAGCAGAACCCTCTAAACACACACACACACACACAACTTTAAATATAAACCAAACAACTTTAAATATAAATTATCAGAGCTGTACACTTTCGGAAAACTCCCACCCTCCCCCGAGCACACGATTCATTTCCTCCTCTCACCGAACCTCCACGCTAAAGGCTAAAGAAAAAGAATTTTACCACAATTTTAGAGTCTCTTCGCAGAGGTAACGAAAGCAATTAGCAGCCTGGGAAAAATAATCATTAAAAAAAAAAAAAAAGGCAGCAAATCCGAGCAGAAAAGCAAACAAGCAATCGGATGGGAACAAGTTCTACTACCATAGAAAACGGATCGGAGAGAAAACTTCAGGAACATTACTGCCTCGGCGGAAGGCAGTGATTCATTTGAACCCTGCCACCAAAACACACACCACAATCACCACCCATTTCTTTTGCATTTCGTTCTGAGCAAATCACTGCAGGGCTGAGGACATACAGGAAGAGACAGAAATGGGCTTGTCTCGCTCGGCTGTTTTTTTTTTTCCTGCCCTTTTTTTTTTTTTTCCTTCTTCCCCCACCCGAAAGCCACTGTCAAAATGGAACTTTTCCTGCACACAACTCGAACCGGCTGAGCAACAGATGGCATTTCCACATTAATCCAGAGCTCTGGGAGGGCTTTGGGGATAACAAAGAATACAGGAGAGACTTCTTCCTAAGTTCAGGGGGGGGGGGGAAAAGAAGTAAACGAGAAGGAAATCAGAAACCCAAAAATAATCTTTCCAGAAAAGACCAAGTCTCTCAGAATGAGAAGTGCTGGAATAGAGGGTGCAGTTGGCATTTTTTTTGCTTGCCTTAAATTCTTCCCTGAAGGATTACAGGTGCATAACCCGAGAAGGTGAAGGCAAGTAACAGCACCCATTTATGCAGGAAATGGCAAAACGCCTTTTTTTTTTCTTTTAGCTCTACAATTCCCCCAAAAAAATCCTACAGCCCATTTCCTTTCCTCCCCCCCCAACCTCTTCATTTGTCATTCAGCAGCTGGCACCATGGAAGCACTTAAAGGGGACAGCTTGGAAGGAAAAAAAAAATCACTGCTCCTGCTACTTCAGGCTGAAATTCTCTTTTCTATACAATTTACTTGAACCAAGTTGGCACTTCCCCCCCCTCCCCGCGACTAAATCGGCAAGAGGAGGGTGGAGCATGTGCATATGGTGTAGGGGGGAAAGGCAAAGCACAAACCTCACAGAGCCTCCCATGCTCTGCTCCTCCACATGCCAAGCGCTGAAAAGACAATTCGTGTGCAGAGGAGGGGGATGAACATATCTCCAAATGAAGGAATCGCGAGGAAAAAGTAAAGAGGGAAGAAACGCCTTCTGCATCCACGCTTCTAGCTACCAACAGCACTTTCGGGATGCAAAATGGGGAGCGAGCACGGGAAGGAAGGAGGAAAAAAAAACAACACCACGGGAGACCTGTGTTACTTAATTACACCCTGTACCCAATTTTAGTCGCGTTTGCAGATGCTCAGAGGGTGCGACTGTCCCTGGCCACCGCCTGCACCCTGGGAACTCCCCGTGCACAGCCCCGAAAACTGGGGAATAAACCCCAACAGCAGCCCCAAAGCCCGGAGGGGAAAACTCCTTACAGGAGCGTGTAGTGACAGGGCACGGGGGAACGGGTTCGAATGGGAAGGGGGCAGGGTTAGCTGGGATACGGGGGAGGAATTC